GATCACGGCCAATGGTTGGGTAGGTTGTTAAGAGCTCAAAACTATCCAAAATTCGGATTAGCGCACTTTGGTCATTTATCTTTGAATTAAAGGCAAAACGGTCCTCCAGTGACCGTTTGTGAAAGTGCATGAAACTTCAGTGATCGTTTCTGCAAGTTTTGAACTTCAGTGACTGTTTTGTTATTTTTGCCTAAGTTCAGTGACCGTTTGTTAAATTAACCCTCAATTTAATATATTAATCGTATTGAGATGGACTTTGAGAAGAAATAAGGGCAAAAAAAATATCTTTAGATATCAATTATGTAGGAAAAATTTAATTTTCGAAAGGCTTTATAGTATAAAGCGTATTTAGAGAACTTTTATTTAAATCAATCAAAGTTGAATGCGCATTACACATTATGTTTTAAACTCTCTGTTTTCTCATTCACAAATAGCAACACAAAAATAAACATAGCAAATGTTTTTTTTTTTTTTTTTTGAATATATTTTAAAAATTTGTGCTAAATATATTGGTATTTATAATGTATAATATGATGGAGAGACAAATCCTTTAATTAATATTTTTTTGAATTTCTTTAAATAATATTATTTAATAAGTAGGCAACAATAAAATGAAGAGGAAATTACATATAAATAAGTATTTAGGGTCTGTTCTATTTACCAATTTCAAATCGTTTTCGATTTTTCAAAACAGTAAAAACACGTTATCTTTCCTATTTTCGAAAACGTGTTTTTGAAGACAAGTTAAAAATTTACAAAGAAAACTCAAAACGCTAAATTGTCGTTTTGGGTGTTTTCAGTTATAACCAAGTCAAAAATTTTAAAACCCGTTTTTGGTTTTTCAAAACAATTTTTCAAAATGTCGAAAAGAACACATTTTCAACAATCTCAAAATGGACACTCAAAACACAAAACTCAAAATGAATTCAAAACTCAAAATTGAAATACAAAAAGAACGGCCCCTTAAGTTTTCAATACAAAAATTAGATAATAATTCAATTTATAAATAATAATAATAATAATAATAATAATATAAAATTAAATTAATTTACCTACCCCTCCCCTATCCCTATCCCCACCGCCACTCCCATTTCCAAACCCTAACATCATTCCCGTCTCTTCTCCTCCCTCTTTATCTCTTTATCCAAGTTCATAGCCGCAATCGCCATATTATCACCACCACCACCAACAATAAACAACCAACATCATCTCAAAAGTAGATCATAGGAAGAAGAGATCACCCAAACCATCCCCAAAAATTATCTAAAAACCATCGTTGCCACCTTTCACCCCGGCAATCAACACAAACCAGAGTACAATTGCTCAACATCGTCCCGGTGTTGCCCGTCCACAGAGCAGATCGTAGCTGCCCCTTCACAGATCGCCCCCATCACCTTTGCGCTGTTTCTTAAGTATGACAAGATTTGGTGGCGGAAGCGCTGTGCTCGAAGTAAAGGTGAGACGCGTTACCGCAATCTGGTGCGCGGCAATGGTTGCGCACCGATCACCATTATTTCTAATCTGATAGCGGTTGATCCACAGCGGCGCATATCTATTATTTCCTTTCCTTTCCTTTTGTTTTGTTTTTTTTTATTTATGAGTTCGATTTCTCCGATGGTTATGGTGGTTTGTGTGGCCGATGGTTGCCGTGGTGGTTTTTTGCGATTGTTATGGTGTGTGGATGTGGTTTTGTATATGTGGGGTGGCGCGATGACGTGTGTGGTGGTGGTGGTCTCAAGTGGTGGTGGTCGTGGTAGTGTTGGTGGTTGTAGTATGTGATCAACTATTTAATTGTGAATTAAAATTCTAATTTACGACTAGATAATAATTTGTGATTAATTAATTTGAAAATCTGTGACTGACAAATAAACTTTGACCTATCAAAATTTTTAATTGTGATTATGAAATAATATGTGATCAATTAATTTGATAATAAGTGACTCATAAATAAGTTGTGATATATAAGTACGCACCTGTAATCATTAATTGTATAATTGTGACTTTAATATATTTAATTAAATAAATATTTTTATTAATTAATTAATAAGTAAATTTTGAATTTTAAAACTTAAACCTGAGAGTTGAATTGCCGACTTGTGAATTTTTCCCTCAAATGAAGTCCATATTCTTAATTATCTTACAAATCCGATTAACCATGTTGACTATTTGGGCCCGGTGGCCCATCCGGTTCAGGCCAACACAGGCCAGCCCACAGAATATGTGGGTGGAGCAGCAATGTAGTTAAGCTGGTCAGGCCATTTTATACCTGTGTAGCTATATATCTTTCTATATATAAAAAGTGTCTATTTAACGGAATTTATTGGTTTAACGAAAAAACTAACGGAATTTGTTGTTTTAACGGATTATGTAACGGAATTTCTTGTTTTAAACAGGCGGCTGCACCTTCTTTCAGTGTTTTTATCATAACTTTGTATTCCGATGTTCGATTGAGGCGATTCAAAATGCGTTGGAAAGCTAACTCATCTGGCTACAACTTT